TAGCTGATTTTGGCGCTACTCGTAAATACCGAGCAGCAGTTTTACCGCTTTCCCGTTAATAGTTCTTTTAGACCAAACCAGATTCTAATAATTATCATAAACTCTACTAATTCCCTGTTCTTATAATTCTAACTGACTTTATAATAATAGTTTAAATTAATAAAAGATTGAACATTAATCACACAACAAACAACTTTTATTCAAATAGATTAAGAAACATTAAATACAATACCACACAGATGTTTAATTACGGATGATGATTTTGGAATGATGTTACAACTCGACGTCACTTATGAGTGGTTACCGGCTTTACTAATAAATTAGTAAATGCTATAACGAGTCCCGTTATCCCAACTCAAATAAGTTTGTACCACAGTTTATAATAAAGAATAAATGAAATAGTAGTGAAGAGTGGGGAAGATTGGGTATGAGTGCCGATATAAGTAACACTTATATCACGGATAGCGGCACAAAATAAGACTGAAACTGAACCTATAAAGATATCTCAACTATCTGTAAAAATACTTTATAAAAAGTAAAGATCTAACCGACGTGAACACAAACTAAAACTGGAAAAGAAAGAGAGCGAGAAAAGTGCGGCTTTCCTTTTTATACCCGGCACTGGAGTTGCATCACATGATTGCTATCAACCAATAAGATGTCTTGAAAGTGCTTAGCAACAGTACCGGCAAAGGAAATATAATGTGGTGGTGGCTCACAATGGCCGACTGATATAATGGAAACACATAGAAATCAATGGAAATACATAGAATTACATAGGAATGCATTGAAATAACACTAACCTAACAACTTTATAAATTCAATTATAATTAGGACGTTTGCTTTACCCTAAATACAAGATTATAGTTTTATAGTGGGATAATCAGTCTACCCAATGATAGGTCTAAATTAGTCCGACCGAGTTCCGGTTTACGGGTTTTAGGTCATTATTCCCGATTCAATGGGAAAAGTCAACATAGTCAATAAACTGATTAATTAACATTAGAAACTTTGCTTTACCCTCATAATGATGTTATAGGATTATAGGTGGATAATCCTACTTTACTATGATAGGTCACCTGTGGTCATACCGAGTTCCGATCTGGGGGTTATCGGGCAATATTCCCGATAAACATGGAAATTTCAATAGAGATGGTACTTAATTAATTAATAACGGCTAATTAGCTTGATAGGTCTAAATTAGTCCGACCGAGTTCCGGTTTACGGGTTTTAGGTCATTATTCCCGATTCAATGGGAAAAGTCAACATAGTCAATAAACTGATTAATTAACATTAGAAACTTTGCTTTACCCTCTTATTGATGTTATAGGATTATAGGTGGATAATCCCTCTTTACTATGATGGGTCACTCATGGTCATATCGAGTTCCGGTCTGGGGGTTATCGGGTAATATTCCCGATAAACATGGAAATTTCAATAGAGATGGTACTTAATTAATTAATAACGGCTAATTAGCTTGCTTTACCCTTAATACTAGTTTACAATTATATAAGTGGATTACTACTCTACACTTTGGTATACGACATATATCTGGTCAGAGTTCCGGTCTTAGGGTATTCGGGTAATATATTCGTAAATATGTGAAAATACTCATTATGTCTCAACTTAATTAGTCTATAGTTTCTCAGAAGCTTGCTTTACCCCTTTACTGACTTAATTGTTATAAACCTTAGTATCTGACCTTCAGATTGATAGGTCACACTTAGGTGTCCGGAGTTCCAGTCAGGGGGTTTTCGGGTGTTGTAACCGGTTCGGGTACACATTATTAGTATCGCCTTTGGTATTCACTTTTAACAGTGATCTGGTTCTCATTATCTACTATTAGTAGCGTATCTCGGTAACATATATGACTGTCCTGACCATCGGGCGTCCCGGTCTGGTCGGTTCGGGTCACTACCCCGATAACGATAATGTTATGTGTAGACATAGTAAGACCTCCGCCTCACAATGAATACTCTTGTCATCTCAATCACTAAATGCAGACATGGTAAGACTTCTGTCTCACCATGAATACTGCTGATGTGGCCATTCAGTGTTCGGGCCGGTAATTGGTATCGGTAATTAATGGTACAGTCAATATGTGAGATAAGGCGCGATATTCAAATAGGTGTCTATCATAATATGTACGGTCTAATATGTTAAGCTATACGGTAAGCAATGAGTGTTAAAGCCGTAAAATGCGAAAAAATATTCGGTAAAGATTTTACTTATTACAGTATTATACAGTGTTATATTGATAACAGTAAATTACCTACATGTATAATAATGAAAAATTAGTGTACTAAGTGCCATCTGGTGCAGCTAGAATTAATAAAATTGTATTATTATTTGACTTAACATTTTTGGGCACCAGAAACCAAGTTTCATAAAATTCGCATCAATATTAATAGTTAAGACATATGAATATCTTATATGAAACCCGTCAGGATAATGTATTCCTATGGGACAGTATTTATTTCGCTAGAAATAGTGATGAATTTTGAGTAAACAATACTAGAGATAATACAAAACCCGTATCTAATGATAGGATATTCAATGACCAACAATGACCGGTACCCCAACTGTGACCATATCATTAACGGTAATCAACTCGATTGGGGGCCTCTATTTGGCCGGTTTGCATTTGATTCTCATTATTGTTGAAGTTAAAAAGATCTTCTCTAACTATTAGTGAATCCCAATAACCAAATAATCGCTTCAAACATGTATTTTGCAAAATGACAATCGCATACATTAATGTGTAGTTTATATCGCTATTAATAGGCTTTCCATTGAATGGCAACCAAAAGGATTGGCGTAAATATAAGGAACGTTGGGTTGAAATATTCAGTGGTTTTCAGTCCGAAGTTAGCGCTTACTGTGTGTCTGAAGGGGCGCCACCACTGATGAACATGCGTTTGCATCCCATCAGTCCGTATCTCAATCTATACTTATATCCAAAGGAATTGGATTACGAAGAGTTGCAACCAATGAATAACAAATGGAAACGAGTGGAGAATTTTATTCGCACAACAGATGAGACATTTGAGATGCCGGACACGTTGTCCAACCGGTCCGACGACAGCAAACTTATATTCCTATCGATGGGTTCGTTTGGTTGCGCTAATCTCGAGTTAATGATCAGATTAACCACAGTATTGGCTAAATCTCAACACTCTTTCATCGTTTCAAAAGGACCACTGTTTGAGAGCTATGAATTGCCGGCCAATATGTGGGGCCAAAGATTCTTACCTCAAACAGCTGTCCTACAAGTTGTGGATTTGGTCATAACCCACGGCGGCAACAATACTGTGGCCGAAAATTTCTATTTCGGTAAACCTATGTTAGTGTTGCCATTATTTGGCGATCAATACGATAACGCACAGAGAGTGGCCGAAACGGGGTTGGGTTTAAGACTCAATCCATTTAAATGTACGGATAATGAATTGCTTAACGCAGTCGACACTTTGGTTTCGGATTTAGAGTTAAAGACCAGAATGGCATCAATTGGTGAACGTATTCGCAATAGCAATGATAAACAAGTTGTTTCCGATTATATCGACAAAATGTTCCAATAAATTAATTTTTAAATATATTTTTTATCTCTTTGTTAAGAAATTATAATTTAGATTACAAATTTAATTGAACTTATCTAGCATTTTGATTGATCTAACATTTATTATCTTAACATCTATCATTTTACTAATTGGTTTTATAATGTAGTACAAAAATATTTTATTATGATGTAATTCAATAAAAATAAGATTAAAAGCATACTTATAATTTATAAGTTATAAACATAATTAAGAGCGTCAGTACATATTTTACAGACTATTAAACTAAAGTACACGTACTGTATATTTTATTCTTATTAATTCTTAATAATTCTTTATATTATATGTATAAGAATTTAAAAAGTTTAATAATATGTTTACAGAAAGTTAAATCTTAATTATTTTTTTGAAAAGATTTGATAAAATACTTTCCGCAATCAAAATGCTGTCGCAATCGTTGTGAAAAAAATTTACTCTTCATGTCCAACACTAACTGTTAGTAAAGCATAATATCCATAATACTAAATACTTTGTAATATTATGTCAAATGTTTTATATGAAATGCTTGATACAGTGCGCGTAATATAGATATATGCAGTTCGAGTAGTTCGGTATTTTGTACAAAGTACTCTAATAAGGCTTGTATGTTTTTACTTTTGACTAAACTGGCCAGATGAGTTTATGACACTCCTGAATTTTGGGCAAAAATCAGCCCTATTATCCTGGATCCCTGGACATTTTACTAATTTTAGTTATATTATCTTGGACGCCTCCATAGACTTAATGTTTAAAATATTTTTGAAATTCTGGACAGGCCATCTAATTCCGGGACAATCCAGACCATTTCTGGACATCTGATCAGTCTACTTCTTTAAAATCATACTATTATTTTACGATAACAAAATTCATTTATTATATTACAAATACAGAACGTTTAGTACACTTTTAGTTCGTTAATACGTATATTTAAGTATTGTGTACGGGTATTCATGATTTCCATTGATTTATTTTTATATAGAAATTAATTAACCATCTCAATATTCTTTTACCAAGTAATAAAATTAATATTGCTAAAAATTAATAATTTTTATAAATTGTTAATCTGATAAACAATTAAATATTAATTAAAACACTATGTTTATTAGAATTAAAAATACAAAAAATTATAATTCTATGCACTATGCAGATTGTATAATAAAATTTTATCATTATATGTTGAGATCTTAAATTGTTAGATATTAATTAAAATAGTAATAATTAGTTGGAATACTTAATTGAAGTGCAATAAATGTCATACAGATATAATTTGACATAATCTGCATTTTATTTTAACCATTTATTATCAAATGTTGTACTTTATATAAAAAGAGTTGAAGTTTTGTTTTAATTTAGTATTCACATTAATTTTAAATAAATGTTTTAATATTTTATAATTCAATATACTATATGAATAATGTCTTCAAAAAAGTTAACAATACTGTTCACACCATTGGATGGTTGGGGACATATCAACGCTTGTCATGGATTGGCTGAAGAGTTAAAATCAAGAGGACATAGAGTGGTGTTTGCAATCGATAAGGCATTTAAAGGCAAACTAATTGCTTATGGATTTGAAGAGTATTTGCATGGATTGAATACCGACGGAGAAGTGATTGAATACTGGCCACTATTTATGGAACAGAACTGTCATTATCTTAAAGAAAAACCAATAGTAATGGTGGAGAAGTTTTTAGTAACGGCTTTGACCAAAATGTTTGCCGACAATAAAGAGAGAGAACAACAATACGAGCACATTATACACAAAGTTAAACCTGATTTAATTGTCACCGATAACTACATATGTATGCCAACCATAACAAACGCAGGCATACCCTGGGTCTGGTTGTTCTCCGCTGCCCTTCACCAGGCACTCGATGATAATAGGATACCCCCGGCCTGGTCTGGTATGTCATTCAAATTGTTATGCATTTGATTCAAGTTAAATTATATCATTAAAACATTTTATAAATTAGTTTTATGTACTTTAATTGTCAGTACTATATTAAATAAAATTAGTAATTAAAAATTAAGTTTTAATAAGTTAAAAGTTGTAATATTTTGAACGGTTATAGGTTTGCCATTAAATGATTGCAGTGCATGGCAGCAATTTCGGGAGCGATCGACTGCATTATTCTCGGCTTTACAACAAAGTGTAAACGATTATTGTATGTCAAAAGGAGCGCCCAAACTGGCCGATCGACGCCTCCATCCGCTCAGCCCTTATCTCAACATATATTTGTGGCCAAAAGAATTTGAATACGAGTTTCTCGAGCCGATGGACAACAATTGGGTTCGAGTCGAGAATTTCATTCGCACCACTCATGAGACGTTTGAGATACCGAAACAACTATTGGTCCGTCCGTCCAATCAGAGTAAACTAGTCTTCCTATCCATGGGTTCGTTTGGTTGCGCCAACATTGAGCTCATGACACGACTGACCACTGTTTTGGCTCAATCTCAACACCGATTCATAATATCTAAGGGTCCAGTATTTGAGAAGCACTCTTTGCCACCCAATATGTGGGGCCAAAGGTTTTTGCCTCAAACTGCGATTCTTCCATTAGTAGATCTGGTCATATCTCACGGCGGGACGACTGTCACCGAGAGTTACTTCTATGGCAAACCTGTACTCGTATTGCCACTATTTGGTGATCAGTTAGATGTGGGTCAGAGGGTTATGGAGACTAAATTAGGCATTTGTCTAAACCCTTTCTACTGTACTGATGAACAACTGCTTAACGCTATCGACACGATGGCTGCCGATACGGCTTTGGCTCAAACCATAGCAAACATTGGCAAAAGAATGAGAGAAAGTAAAGACAAAACCATAATTTCAGATTTAATTGAAAAAATTGCTACAAAATAGTGTTCAACATATGATTATATTATACATGTTACAATTTTGTTTTCGAAAAACTTTATGCCTCAATCATATGATATACAAAGTGTAAAATTATATGATGTAAAAGTTTGGTCAAATCTTAACAGCACATAGCGTGACCACCTGTGCTCTATTTCAGAGAACAGTTTTTTATTTGGACCTGCATTTTAACAAAATAGAGAACTGTTCTCTATTTTGATTTTATAATAAATGATAAAAATTTTACTAAATTTATTAAATATTTATTAATCAATACAATAATAAACTTTTTGAAAGATTTAACACTTTCTTGATTAACAATACCCATTTTTACACATCTAATACAATAAATTTTATTACAAAATTGTTAATAAATAACCTCAATTTTTAATTAAGACAAAAAAATTAATATAAAATATATGTTCTCTATTTGTTCTCTATTTTAACAAAATTTTAGTCAAATGTTCTCTATTTTTAAACCTAAAGGTGGTCACACTAACAGCACATCATATACTTTAACCCTTAAAGCTTAAACTATAATTATGGACGTTGTAAATAAACTGGGAAAGTAATCACCCAGCAGTTAGTGCATAAACTGGGAGATTGATCTCCCACGCTTTAGTACTGTTTATGCTGGGAGATTTTGAATTTCAACTAAAAATCAACGAAGAATGCTAGCCAGAAAAAAATCCAGAAATGCCTCATAAATAGTTAGTTTTATAAAGGTGTAAAGTTATTGTGTTTAATAAATAAAATAGTCAATATTTAATAGACTTATATCATAAATTGTTGATTACTCTAAATTTAAAAGATTAATGCAATATTATAAAAATTATAATAAATTACTCAATAAAGAATAAAAACTAATTTGGGCCAAAAGTTAATTCTGAACAGTAATTGAGAATAGTACTTGTAAAAACAATAAAATTAGCGTACAAATTTGTATATTTTGTACGATATTTATGGTGAAAAAGACATTTTATAATCCATTCATATTAATTTTAATTACATTTGCGATGATAATTAATTTAACAAATTTAAAAAATTGAATTTTATAATATAAAACTTTTGATATTTTTAATAGTATTTTAATATTTTTTTCAGTTTAATATTATAATATTTGTATAAATAATTGTTGTTTGACATTACTTCAATTTTTCACACAATTTAATATAAATTTTATTGTACATTTGATATTTTACATTAAAAAACATTTAATTTGATATCAATAAAATAATTGTAATATAAATGATATAATAAATACAATACATAATAAATACATTTCTTTTCTCTCTAGTAACACTGTTAATAAGTTAACAAGTATTCACAAGTATTATAAAGAAATATTACTAATAACTCTTTCATTTAAAACTTTATTTAAATATTTTATGTATTAATAAATTTTTTTATAACTCTAACAATACAATGTTATAACAAATTAATATTCATCATTTTTATAATTTACTGGTAGTTTATTATTAGTACATTAATAGATAATTTAAACATCTCTGGATATCGTCAATATTAATATATCACAAAAATATTATCAATATTTATATGTTATGGGAAAGAATAATAAATGTGTGTTTTATCAATCATATAAATCAAAAAATTTAATATTTAATACAAATTGTAATGTTTAAAATTATACGAATATTTAATATGAAAATGTCTTCAAATAATATCGATGTCAACTCAATTAATAATTTAGAAATATGTAAAACAAAAAATAAATCATTATGGGATTATTATGTATATACACTTTTGTTGTGTTTCAGCAATGTGGCCCTGGTATGTTTCATATTTTATAAATAATTTATTAATAAACGAATACTACTATTCTATACTATTGTATACATTATATAAATATGTATCACCTGATTAGGGCCTATCATCGGCTATATTTGGACCCGTAATGCTTGACTTCAAATATATTCTTAATGTTTCCGTGGAATCCATAACTCTCTGCATGACTTTTGCATTCGTGGGATATATGATGGGCACTTTGTGTAAGCAAATTCATCATCATACTTTAATTTACGTTTTATTTAGTTATAGCAATTTTTGTCTCAAATAACAGCCGGTTTATTATATAACTATCTAAACCGACAATTGACCATTTCAACATTGTTTGTGTTGACCAGTATATCGTGTTCAATGATGCCCATCACTGGCAATATATACATACTGTATGCATGTTTTTGGATTTGTGGTGTTTGTGGTGGTGTCTGGAACTGTACTATTAATGTGTGGATAATAGAGATGTGGAGGAATAAAAGTGCATCTGTTCTGCAGTTTATTCAATTTGGTTACGGTTTTGGAACAATTGTATCACCGCTTATACTCAGGCCATATCTGAGAGGAGATGGACAGCAAATAGTGCCACAAACACATACATTGTTCAACACATCAGTATATGAATCAATCAATAAGTCCAACAATACGACTGATATGATAGACAACATTCATAACACTGATAGAATAGGATATCTTTGGCAACCTTTTCTTATTATTGGTTGTATTCAAATCATATGTAAGTCATTCATTCATTTTAATTTCAAATTGCTTAAATATTGTATTTGGAATTAATTAAAATACAGTATTAATGTTAAGATTTTAGTATACAGTTTATGCATTTACAGTATATGCTCTGATTCTGAATCTTTTAGTTCATCTTTTATGTAATAATTTTAATTATAAGCTTTTATTATCTAATACACTGTACATTACTATGTATTATTACCGTATTATTGTAAATCTAATTGTAGCGCCCATTGCTCTCATACTAATGTATTTAACAAAACCTTATAATATGGAAGAATTGATGACTAAAGACACCAAAAACATAACGGGAGAAGAATTAAAGTTATTT